GAAATAACTTCAGGCCACCCCACTCCTCCATCCGTGTGTGCTTTGGTTGATGATGACTGCGTGCAGTTGAGTAAAATCAGGCCGTGCAACCCCAGCCCACACTTGTTTGGATTCTTCACCCGCTTTTGTAAGACCCCGATTTAATCAGGTTCCAACAATCCCAGAGGAATGTTTAATTAATGTTATAAAGAAACAATGGGATGATTAAGCAAGTCTGGGCGGCTGCCATGCGTGGGGCGCGTGGCACTTGGGGGTGAATCTGTCGGGGAACATCATCCTACGGACCTCTGTGCCATTTTATTCACTGTTTTAATCATCTGCTCCAGTCCTTCTCTCCTCTTTGCACTCACCGGGGCAGAGAAGAGGAGCAGAGATGGAGCTCAGTCTCTTCTGCAACTGCAGAGTGAAAGCTCTGAACAAGGAGCCCTCCCACCCCTCCTCCATCCCCACTCTGGAACAGCCCAGCAGCAGCTCTGGGCCACGAGGGCCCTAAAAGTGGTCCAGGAATAGCATCAAGGAGAGCCTGCAGCAGAAATGTGCTCTGGAGGCAGCACAGCACGCAGGCTGAGAGCAGCACGGGGTTCTGCCCAGAGCAGCAGTGGATGCACAGCTCCTGGGGTGGGACGCAGCACACCATGGGCTGCCATCCGGGTGTCTGCAGCAGCCAGCACTGTCCATCCTCTCCCACCTCATTTGGCCCCTGTAAATGTTCTCAAATGGTTGAACGATGCTCTCAGTGCATGATGGCTTCGTGGCATTGATTTTAGGCCAGTTGCTATCTAAAAGATAATTCTCGCTGCTCAGAAGCCTGCTTGCAACCTGAAGTAATTGCATTTGCCTTGGGTTGAATTCCTTTTGCAGCTTCTAAAAATAACCCCCACCCCCCATTTCTTCTGCTTTTCACAGAGCATCTGAGAGCAGTGAATAAACACTGGGAGGGACGCGAAGGAAGGGGAAGCGGAGCAGCAGGGAGGTGAGGAAGCAGCAGCCCTGCATCCCATCAGGGAGGGATGCAGCTCAGCTCAGCACAGCAGCAGTGGGAGTTGTCCAGGGGAGAAAACCCAACTGCAACCCCTGTATGGCACTGAGTGGGGCTGGGAGCTGCAGGGCTGTTGCCAGCAGTGTGGGGATGTGGGTGGTGGCCAGGGTGTCTTCTTGGCCCCACATGTTGCTGCTCCCTGCACCCAGCAGTGCAGCAGCTCTGCCCCAGCTCTGCCCTCTTCTCTGCGCACCCGTCGTTATGCTGAGCCTTCTGGTGTCCTGCAGATCAATGGTGACTGCATGTGAGATGACCAAGGTTGGGTCTCCCTCATTTCCAACCTCATCTAGCACACAGGAGTGGCCCACAGGGGCTCCTGCACAGCTGCAGCTCTCAGCTTACTGTGCTTCAGACCTGGTGAGCTCTGCCCTGAATTGAAGCTGCACCGACACAGCAGTGGCACTGCCCATTCCCAAAGAGAAATGAAGAAATGCGGAGTGAAGTGGGGTGTCTGTGGCCCTCCAAATGTTACATTCACACACACTGGGCATAGGAAAGGCTGCATAAAGGTGCACAGCTGGAGCTGATTTGTGTGACAATTTGTTCCCACATGGGCAGGAAGGGCAGCGGGGCTGCTGTCACTCAGCTCAGCTGTCACTCGGCTGTGCCATCGTCACTCCAGGCAGGTTACAGGGAACCTGATTTCTCCTGAAGGCACTCAGAGCAAAGAGCAAAACGATTGCTGACTTCCACACTGCTGAGAGGAGCGTGGCTGAGGCTCCCAGTTCTTCACGTGGCCATCCTGATCCGGAGCTCACATCCTTCTGGCTGCAAAGCAGCATCAATTCTTGCAGCACACGATGCTCCTTGGGAAGGGCTGAGCTCAGCCCTGTGCTGCACAGCTCTCCCAGCTGCTCCTCCTGCCAGGAGATCCAGGAACGCTCCCCTGTGTGTCCTCCTCCCCTCTTGAAGGGGCTGAAGGCAGCGCTTTGTTGGGGAGCAGCCCAGAGCTGCCCCATAACGCGTGCAGTGTGCTTGGCTCTGTGAATTTCTCCTTTGTGCCTCCATCCGCAGCCCACAGCTGCTGCTGCCCCACTGCATGGGGCCAGAGCACCCCCAGCACAACGGGCTCCTTGTTCACCCCATGATTAAAGGAGCGGCTTTTGGCCTTGAATGTTGGCACCACCCAAAGAAAATGTCATTGGTGTGCAAACACAGCACTGTGCTGGGAGCTGCTGTGGCTGAGGGGCACAGGGCTGTAACTGCAGCTCCAAACCTCTGACAAATCATTGCCTCTTCCTTGGCTGCTGCCGTCCTGGAGCACAGCCCTTTGGGTCAGGGACCCTGTGGGACCCTGCAGACAGGGGGGCGTTTTTCCATGCTCTGTGCCTGCTGATACACAAATGCTGCTCCCTGCGCAGCACTGAGCTGAGCTGAAGGCAACCCAGCCAGGAGCAGCCACAGCAGCACAGCTCTCAGCATGGCTCATTAGGCCTGGCCTGGACGCTAATTAGGCTGTTCCTGTTGCTGCCCCATGCACTGGCAGGGAGATGGGTTGCAGGTGATCACTGCTGAGCTACTATAAAACTCTGCTGGCGGCCTGCACTGGGAACTGACTCAAACCCAATTCCCAGAAACCCCAGAGGCACCGAGCTCGGATGAGTGCTGCTTTTACTGCTGGGCATTTTCATGCACCAGGTCCCAGCGCTCGCCCTCAGTCTGTTTCAGCATCCATCACACCCATGGGGTCACCGTGAGCGGTCTCAGGCTCTTCTGGATAACACGGGAAGAAGTAGAGCTGCTCCACGTGAGCTCAGGGAGGGGGGCAGCCAGCAGCTCCATCTGCCCTGGGGCTGAATTCAGGGGACGCTCTGCTGAGCACAGCCCTGCACAGAGCCAGCGAAGGACGTGGAGCTCCCATCCCTGCATCTCAGCTGCTGGGACAGGGCCAGGCACAGCCTCATCCTCCCGCACACAGCTGCCTCATTGCGGGGGGAGCAGCGTGGGAAAAGCACTGGGAAGGGGGCAGTGTGGGCCCCAGGGACCCCACGCAGCCCCCCCCCTTCACCCCCCAAGCTCTGCTCACAGCCCTTGCCTGAAGCACACGTTCCCATGAGTCGCTGTGAGCGTGCACAAAGCCCCGTGAGATGGCACAGCTGCTTCCACAGCTGTGTGGGGGTCCTGCCCCATGCACAGGGGCTGGGGGTGCGGAGGGGGCCCCGGGGACAGCATTGGGATTGGATGGATGGGGCTGAAGTCACTGCAATGAGGTGCAGCAATGCGGGGCTCTGATCTGCACAGAACAGCCTGTACTCACACACAAAATACAAAATGAAAGCCCAGCTCTTCACCGAATATTGCACAGTAGGAATTAATTTCATTTCCTTGGAGTCAAGTCCTGGCAAAACAGATAAAAACACTCATTAGTTTTAATGATTTTTGCAAAGGTCAGCTCCGAACTTCACATTAATTAAGTTTCTCATCCTGCTGCTGGCTATAGGAGCTTGTGTGCATCCATGTGGTGCCCCTGCAGCCACTCTGACCAACCCACAGTGGGAAACGCCATGCAAAATAACCTTTAGAGAACAGAGAATGAGATAAATATGCGTGGATGGGAGTTTAAAAAGCAGTGGATTGGTACAGACAGCAGTGATTCACTTTGGCTGAATCTGTGCTCAGTGCAAAGCAGCAGCAGCACAGGCGCAATGACTTCGGGGCTGCGTGGCTCAACTGCAATTGTAAATGCTCTCCTTGGAGCAGAGCTTTGAGTTACTTTGCTTCGTTGGGTGAAGCAGAAGCACGTGAGGGCACTCCAGGAAGATTTTCTTTTCCACTTCTCTTTAGGACACTCTTCAGTAAACACATCTTTAAACCCACGAAGCATTAAACACCGAATGCTTTGGGGCACATCTGATTTGTAAATGAAAACTATGCAGCATTCACCAGAGAGCAGAAACGGGGTTGTTGTGCTGCACACAGGAGAGCCAACATGTGCACCAACAGCTCCGGCTGTGGGGTCTGCAAGAGGAACTGATCAGGGAACCCCAAAGGAATTGCAGGGACCCACCAGGAAACGGGGACTCTAAAGGAACCAGGGGGACCCCAAAGGAATCTGGGAACCCAAAAGGAACCAGGGACTCACAGGGAGCCACAGACCCCCAAAGGACCAGAGAGTACCCCAAAGAAACCAGGGAACCCACCACAATTCAGGGTCCCCAAAGGAACCTGGGTGACCCCAAAGGAATCTAAGATCCCAAAGGAACAGGGGGAATCCACTGGGAACCAGGGGACCCCATCACAGTTCAGAGACCCCAAAGGAACCGAGGGATGCACCAGAAACCTCAAAGGAACCGGGAGATCCCAAAGGAATCAGGGGGACCAAAAGGAACTGGGGGAACCCAAAACAAACTGGGGATGCCAAAGGAACTGGAGAAGCCACCACAATTCAGGTACCCCCAAAGGAGCCCAGGGGGAGCACCAGGAACCCCAGGACCCCAAAGGAACCGAGGGGGGAATGACCACGATTCAGAGACCCCGAGGGAACCCAGGGGGATCCCAAAGGAAGGGGGAGAGCCCAAAGGAAGCGGCGGCTGCGGGCGGACAGCGCCCCCTGGCGGCAGTGCGCGGTAGCGGCGAGCGGAGGGCGGGCCTCCATTCCGCAGCCGCGCCGAGCAACACTAAAATCACTTTATTACTACAATAATTGTACGTTTAGTAAAGATAACCGACCTGCAAACGCCACGCTTCGGCTCCTCCTGAAAAAGGAAGCGCTGGGGGATGCAGCTTGGTGCCCAATTTGCCCCAGTAGCTGTAATGCAGGCAGATGGACTGACATTGTCACCTTATGTCTCCATTCAGTCTGCTTGGGCTGCGTCGAGAAAGTGGGATCTCTGCTGAACTCCACAGCTGCATGAGGGTCAGATTGAGAAAAAACAGCTCGTTTTTGGGGATTCCTCAGCGTTGGTCCCAATAAAAGCACCCCACGAACCCGGGAAACCGTAACAAAAACACAGAACCAAAATGAAAATGTACTAAAATTTAATCATTCATAAAAGCTGTAATTTAATCTGTGACAGTAAAACACAAGAAGCAATATTAGAGTTGGTTTAGTATATTATATATATTTGCTTTTAAAGCCATAGAAATCAGTTATCCCAGGTTTTTTTTTTTTTCCTATAAAAGACCCATTTTTCCAAAGCATTATGCACAAACATTTTTAATTAGAATATAATGGCAGAATGAAAATAATGATATTCTGTAACTTTTAAATATAAAATGAAGTCAATGACTCAAAAAGTTATTTGCTGCAGTGAGTTCAAAGGGAAATCTCAGATAATATATATCTATAGTTACAGATATATAAAATATAATGGTGGAACATTTTTAGTGCTGGGCGGGGAGAAATTATGATATAAGGGTCAATATGAAATTTTAATTATAGTAGCAATGTCTAACATTTGAAATGCATCCATGCTCCTTTGTATAATCATACGCTAGAGTCAATTACATTTATTTTTCACATCTGTTAACTGCTATTGCAAAGGAGAAATGCTACTGTCTTCAATTTCCAAGAGATATACACAGAGCAATTTCTTTTTCCAGGGACTGTGTGCAAACCATTTTAAGATCTAAATTCTTCTCGTCGTATACAAAAACAGGAGAAGCTCCTTCAGATATGTCACTAATGTCTGTAAGGTGGTGACGTTGGGAACGCTGGCACTTTCCATTTAGGCAACAGTTCTTCATTCCTGCAATCTGGGAAGAGAAAAAGAACGGGTTTCTAACGTTGCAGGGTAAGGGCATCGTGCTGCTCACGGCCAGAAGCTGCAGCTGCAGAGAGGCTGCTGTCTTCCAGCACTGAGAGCCCTGCCAAGATACACAGGAAGATTATTTATAGCATACGTCCAACCTTTGGTGGTGTTTTGTTTTGGGTTGCGTTCCTGGTGGGCAGCCATTGAAATCCATGTCCCACCCAAACCCGTTTGCAATTGTCCTCTTATCAGCCAGGGCTGTGACAGCACGGCCACTCACCCAGCTGCCACTTTGGGAGGAAGCACAGCTGACCCAGGATGGCTGCAAGCACAGAGTCACAGGGGAAAGCCTAAGAGAGCAAGGAGGAACACTGCACCCATGGCCACCAGTTCCTGCTGTGTCACAAACCACAGCCCAAGCAAAAGGAGGAAGGCTGATATTTCTCTGCCGGGTCCAGCAGTGGAAATGGCTTTCAGTCAGAAAAGACCAACGGGGGCAGCAGACCAGCAAGAATTGTGTGTTTTGGAGCAGACAGAAGGCAGAGGAGCAGAGGGAGGGGGAATGAGCCCTATGAGGAGCAGCTCAGGTGTGCGTTACACCCAGGCTGCATAGGAGACATGGCTTACCTGGCTCAGAGCTGCTGCGCCACGGGAGTCTAAAGCAGCAGGCATGATTTCTTTTTAGGCTTCTTCTTTTCCACTGGTGTTTTTCTATTTATCTGTCTGACCAGGTCATAAAAGATCTGAAAAGGACAAACACAAACTGAGTACCAAAATAACGAACACCACTCAAGTGTCAAAAAATCAGGCAGGTTGAAACTCCTTCCTGCTGTCTGCAGTCTTATAAATTCAATCAAGCTGCTTCCATTTAGCTGCACTTACTCCTCAAGCAACTGCTGATTACACAAGGCTGCACAGAGCTCCCAGCCATGTGCAGAAAATAAGGGAGCACCTCCTGGGCCCTGGCTTCACTCCCCGCTGTGTAGGATGAGTTCTTGGTTTCCATCACAGCCATTCAGACTGGAGCTGTCAGTCACTTACTGCTGATCTCATGTGCCTTTGGTGCTGATCTATCTGAATTTATTAATCATATCAGCAAGGAAGAACTGATCATCTGCTCTGTAGGAGACTCTTCTAGAGGGGGATGATCACAGAGATCTCTTTTTGCTTCAGCAACTCCTTTCTTGTGAACACTTTCTGCTGTCATTTGTTTTCTCAGTAATAACCCACTCCTAGCAAAATGGGCTCTGCAAACTTGCTTGGAGTTGGGTCGTGGTACTGAGCAGAACTGCTTTGACCTCCAAAAAGCCCCACCCTTCTCATTTACTTCCTTCCTTCCTGGAGCTGTTGATTGCTCACAAATCGTGGTTGATTCCAAAGAAATCCAGAAGGCAAAGAAACAGGTTGTGACAGATTTCAAAGCTTGGATATTTCAGATTTTCTGCCCTGTTTGTGCATGAAGCACAAGTGCCCAGTTTGACAGCCCCAAACAAAACGAACCCATGCTGCCTTCATTGGGCTCTGCTGTCAAGTATTTGAAGAGCACCTGAGCTGCTCCTGCACCTCCTCTGCTAAGCTTCCTACTGCCAGCTCTGGGTAATAGGAGCAGTTCACACCCAGATGCTAAGAAGTGTACAGATGACATTTAAAGGAAAGGTTTCTGTAGGAGAAACCAACCAGTAAGAGGCATTTTCTATTCTGATGCAGAACAGCTTTCCATCTTTAAACCTTTACAAACAAGAGCTAAGGCTGCACAAAGGGAACTGGAGCAACACATGGCGAAGGACCCGACATCTCTTTGCTGGATGAGGTTCCTGCAGCCCCATCCCAACAGCAGGAGCTCCTGGCCCTCCCTGCAGCACTGGGCATGGCACACTGGCTGCCAGAAGGATGCTGGGTTCGGGCCAAAACCCACTGCTTCTCCTTATCTCAGGCTCCTAAACGGTCCCAGTTATCTCCTGGCACCAAAGCTGCTCTGCTCAACGGGGTCACCTTAGTGTTTGTGAGTGGAAAGCTGGCCCTTGGCCCTGTCACAGAGCTCACAGGAGAGAACAAAACCTCAGTGCTGGATGGCAAGAGCCACACAACGGCGGGCGCCCCGACGTGCAGAGGTGTTTCTCATTTAAACATGGAGAATTGTGCAGACATTTATGTTTGGAAATGGTCTCAGTAAATTAGTGGCTTACCAGAGGAGGACTCTGATGGGATGTCTGCTTGAGCAGCCAGATGTAGCAGGAATGTGAAAAGCAAATACTTTCAAAACCAACAGGCAACACTATGCAACACAGCAAGTGATACAATGGGGCATATCCACATTCAGAATAGCAGCAGTTCTCTTAAAAATGTACAGAAGTGCATCTAAGAGCCATCCAGCTCACTCAGGACCCTCTGCCATCCATGCCTTCTGACACAGGCCACAGAAAGCAATTATGTGGAGGTGTCACCCACTCTTTACAGACAAAAAGGAGCAGATTTCTTTAAAACAGATAGGAAACAGTAGCTGAAGTGGCTGCATCTCCTGCTGCAGGCTTGCCCAAGTTCTTCCCAGGCTGAGATTGCAGAAGCACCCTATCTTTCTGATAGTGAAATATAAGCAGCACTGCATGCTTCTGTGTTCAGTTTTGGGCACTTCAGTACAGAAAGGTGCTGGAGCAGGTCTAAAGAAGGGCAGCAAGGCTGTGAAGGGCTTGGAGAATATGGCCTGTGAGGAGAGACTGAAGGAGCTGGGGCTGTTTGGTCTGGGGAAGAGGAGGCTGAGGGGAGACATTACTGCTCTCTTCCAATACCTGATTGCAGCAGAGCGGGGCTGGTCTCTTCTCACTGGTGACAGGGCCAGGGGAAATGGCCTCAAGTTGCACCAGGGGAGGTTTAGGTTGGATATCAGGAAAAACTTCGTTAGAGAAAGGGTTGTTAAGCACTGGAATGGGCTGCACAGGGAGGTGGTGGAGTCACCAGCCCTGGATGTGTTTGAAATCCATCTGGATGTGGTGCTCAGGGACATGATTTAGCTGCTGTTAGAGCTGGGGCAGGTCGTGGTTGCACCTGATGATCTTCAAGGTCTTTTCCAAGCTGAACAATTCTATGATTCTATGACTCTACATGGCATTCACATAGAAGTAACAGAGAGCAGCTGTAATACTTACCTCATTAACGTTGATTTTAGACTTTGCAGACGATTCTAGAAAGGCACAGTTACACCACTGTCTTGCTAAGTTTTGACCCTGCTCTTTGCCAACTACGCGTTCTTCCTCCAGGTCACATTTATTGCCAACCAGAATCATTGGAACCTGGAGAAGAGACAAGGACAAGATGTGGCAGCAACATCACACACCACACGGGCTGCCCAAGCAGTGCTGTCACTGAAGTGCAGCTGTGTGCTCCCACAGCCCCAGCACACGGCCATCTGCCCATCGCATCGCAACGCATGGTGCATCACTGATGCATTTTACACACAGATAAAAGGATGTTCACTACAAACAGCACCCAGTTTTTCAGCTGATCATTGTTTATCCTCTCCCAGTCAATGGCTAGAGCTCTGGCTGCACTACAAAACCCAACATCTGCAGTGAGCCTGTACAGTATGGTCATAGTTTCACACAGGTAACAGAAAGAAGTGGTTATTCTAGGATGAGGACTTATAGCCTTAATATAATGGCACAGTATAGCAGTATGACAGTCAAAAGCTCATACCTGAGTGTTCCCATACCAGAAAACACAGGATGGAGCATGGAGAAGTACAGGTATAGAATTTGACAGGACAAGGGGAAATGGTTTCAAAGTAAAAGAGGAGAGGTTTAGACTAGATATAAACCATCATTACTGAAACCATCATTACTGTCGACTCGCTGATGATAACTGAAGTTCCCAGCTAATGAGCACCTGCAGTTCAGCTTCCAAAGGACTTCTCTTCCAATCAATAATCTCGTGCCACGTTAGAATAAACATCTGGTGCGTTTTCAACACATCCAGCCTACATCCATGCAGACACAAGAAGTCTTTGCTCTACAGCACAGTGATGGCCATCAGCCCCTCTCCTTCAGCACCTCTGAGTCCTGCTTCCCTTTGCTGTGCACATGTAGAAAATAAAACCACCCCAAGAACTGCTGCTGGTGGGTGTGTGCCTCGTTCCATTTCCTGAAGCATTTCATTCTTTGAGCAGAAAATGAGTACTTTCCAGCTGGGAAATAAATCATCATCCACTTCCTCTGATAATTTCCTTTACGTTTTCTAATCCACTTGAAAGTTAGTATTCGTATTCTCCCTCTCATTCAGCTGCACTCAAGATTAATTTTTGTATTTAAAACAGCCGTACTGATCAGAAAGTGACGGCAGTTTTATTTTCAAGAGGTAAATTTTACTTCTTCCATCACAAAGCTGAAGGCACAAAACCCCCTCAAAAGCTCATTTCACATTAAGGTCAGGCTGGAAGGGGCTGTGAGCAACCTGGCCTAGTGGAAGTGTCCCTGCCTGTAGCAGGAGGTTGGGAACAGATGATCTCACAGGTCCCTTCCAACCCAAACCATTCTGTGGTTCTATGATTTACAACCATATCAGCCCAATTCCCTCCCTTACAGCCTTCCAGACACTTCAGAGATCTCCAAAGCTTTAAGATGTGTTCTGAACACATCCAGCAAATAGAATAAGGAAATGAAAATGAGAAACAATGGGAAAAAAGTGCTACTTAATGGAACTGATTTGAAAGACATGAAACTTTCTGTCAGGTTATTTCAAGAAGCAGTAATCATCACAGAGCAGAAAACGGAAGTACAACAGCTTGATCTATCACTTCCTATGTCATGTAAAGACTGGATTTTAAATTCAGACTCAGGTTTAATGGTTTGAGTGCTGGGATGTTCAAAGATGTGTTCTGAAACTTAAAACAGGAAGCCCAAAACTGAGCGGAAGGTTGCATGAAAGTTGAAAAGGTCCTGAGCCTTGGGTTCAACAGGGAGGCTGGATGTGGCTCTGGGCAGCCTGGTCTGGTGGTTGGCAACCCTGCACACAGCAGAGGGGTTGAAGGGAGATGATCACTGTGGTCCTTTTCAACCCAGGCCATTCTGTGATTCCAAGTGCCACCCCCTGGCACAACACCACAAATGCATTTTAGCAACTGAAACATTACTGGCAAATTTAACAGAGCTAAAATGAAAGAAGAAAAAAAACCAAGTTGTTTCTTCAATTGACTCCCACCATTTTGCTGTCACTGCCATCCAGACCGTCAGCTTTTCAGCAAACTCGAGATGTAACACTAAAAACAACAAATACTGCAGAGGAACTCCAACACAAAACTTGGCTGTGCAGCAGTGACTATTCCTAGAAAGACATTTTGCTCACGTACAAATTTCCACGTGCCTCATTGGGAAGCTATTCTGTTCATCTGCAAAACCAGACAACATTTTACTCACATCTTCAGTGTCCTTCACCCGTAAGATCTGTTCCCGAAGGTCCTGTAGGTCGTTAAACGTGGACTGTGCTGTTATTGAATATACTAGTGCAAACCCCTGGCCGTTCTTCATATAGAGATCCCTCATTGCTGTAAATTGCTCCTGGAATCAAGGGAAGAGGAATGCAGTTAATGCAGCTGATGGGTGTTTATGATACCTTTGCTATCTGGAGGTGAGGAGGTGGCACAGGCAATTGTTTGGGGGAATGGCCTTAAGCTGAGACAGGGGAGGTTTGGGTTGGATGTTAGGAGGAAGTTTTTCACCCAGAGGGTGGTGAGGCACTGGCACAGGTTGCCCAAGGAGGCTGTCATGCCCCATCCCTGCAGGCATTGGAGGCCAGGCTGGATGTGGCTCTGGGCAGCCTGGGCTGCTGGTTGGCGACCTGCACACAGCAGGGGGTTGAAATGAGATTTTCAATGTGCTCCTTTGCAACCCAGGCCATTCTAGGATTCTATGATTCTCCTGTTCCCAAAGACCTCATCCCAAAAGACAAAAATCTGTGTGTTCTGGCAACTTGCAAAGTTCAACAAAATTATCAGACATCAGTATGTCGATACAGTGACCCACTGCTGGGTTATTTAACAGAGCTGCTTGATTTGCCCTATTGCTTTGACAGGATCATTAAGTTCTATACCTCACTCCACTCTCAAGAAACCAACTCAGTGCCATTTAGAAAGAGAGGTTATACTTACTGTCCCTGCTGTATCCAGGATTTCAAGCATACACTGTTGACAATCTACTTCCACTTGCTGGGGAAAAAGGGAAGAGACAAAAACAGTTAAAACTGAAGACTCTGAAATGAGGCAGGGGAGAGGAATCTCAGCTTCATTTTTTTTACTTCTGCAGCCAAGAGCTCTGCAAGAGAGCACCTCCCCAGCACCACGAGAGGCTCTGCTATCACAGCTCAGTGACACCCCAGCTGGCACATGGGGCAGCAACCTCGTGCCACAGGGCTCTGCTCACACTCAGGCCTAACAAAGCTTTCACCATTAAGAAACGTCTCCGATTCCCCACGGGTAATTCTACGAAAGCGGAATAAATCTAACAGCAGAACTCAGCATTTATGCTTAATTATCACAGGCACAAAGGCTGCAAGTTTTGTTTTCTGTTTCGGTGTCTTTAATTATGGCAACAATTATGCTAATCTGCAAAACAATGGGTTCCTTGACATCAACCCCAGAGAAGAAAGCAGCACTGTTGACAGAGCTGCATAACACCAGGGTCAGGGATCCTGACAAGGACTTCTGCTCAGCCCTGTGTGCAAAGCAGCTGCAGAGACTCTGTGTGTGCCTTCAAACTCAGAACATCACCATTTCTAAGAGAAAGCAACAAAGCCATCTGAGATCTAAAGGAAGAGCTGCAAGTTGTGTGAGCAACAGAAGGTAAGTCCCCCTATTAAACAGAATTAAGAACAGCCAAATGAACAGCACCATTGACCATTCAGCTTTACAGTGGCTCATGCCATTGGATTGGCCAGAAGCCCCAAGTTTGTGAAGTGCTCTGCAAAGCCAAAGGAAACCATCTGTAGTTTTATGGATCCATGATGCTCTCAGATACACAACTGGCTCTTGTTGGCCTGATGGGCTTTCGTAGCATTACCAAAAAGCAGCAAGCACTGTGAGATGTGAAAGGAACAAAAACGCCACTACTTTACCTTTCTGTATGAATCTTCTATTGTTGGGTCATACTTTTCAACAAAAATTCCCTGAACAAACTGTACAGTCTGGGGAGAAAGGAGAAGGGAAATAAATCAGGTAAGCAAACGGACTGTGATGTGTTACCAAAAAACACTTCGCCAACAAGGAGCAGCAGCAGCAAACTGCTCCATGCTGCTGAGAAAATTCAGGTGGGGAGAAAAGACATAAATTATCAACAAATTTAAGTAAAATCTGTGCTATCTGTCATTCCTTGACCCACTTGGGGACTGCTGGCTCTTTTTTTTTTTTATAGAAGATGAGATCCCCCAAATGCCTTCATTTTAGTGCCTGTGACTTCAGAAGAGTAAAAAGCACCAAGTATGGGAAATGTGAAATCTGATCAGAGGAGCTGGGAATTGCTGTGGAAATCCCAGATCTCAATTAAGTCAGCGTGACAGTGAAGGTGCTCTGGATTCCACACAGAGCACACAGTTCAATCCAATGACACTCCAGACACTCAGTTTGTGTTAAATCACAACAGAAGGAGACATCACTCATGTAGAAGGGGAAGTATTTCTTCCCCACGTGATTACTCAGAGCAAATCTGCCCTAAATATTTCCCCTCATGCTGCCACTTGGATGTGACCCATCCCTGGACACTCAGGCTCTGCATGTGCTGCACTCTGACTCCCATTGCTCCCCAGTTTTCCTGGTCCCCTGGAAGGCACTGGAGTTTTTGTAGACATTCCAGTTTGCTTAAGGTGCTGTGGAAGAACAAAGTGTATCAAAAGCTTTTACTCCTCCGTCTGGCAAGGATTAGGATGGGATCTCTGAAAGAACGCATCAAATGTGAGTCATAATTGAATAACCTTCCCCTCTATCCTTCTGGATCCTGCAGGTGATCTGACAGCCCACAGCAGCCCATTCCAGCAGGAGTCTGGAAAGGAGCAGGGCTCTCTGCTGTGAGTCAGCTGCTGTCACCCTCTGTGACAAGGAGCAGGGTGTGTTTCCCTCCCAGATAACCTCACACTTGACCACTTCTTCACCATCCTGGCTGGGGTGAGCTGCTTGGCTGATCTGTGATAAACAAGTGACAGAAATCTGTCTTACAAAGCTTTACTATCAACTCTGCTATGTAAACCTCTTAGGAGGAACAACACGAGCACTAAAGGAGTGCAAAGTGCCATCAGTGTGTACCCACAGCATTACACATCTGCAGGAAGCAAGCACCAAATGCTGACTGTTCCAGCAGTGATTCATTACTTCTTTCTTCTCAGAAAAAAAAAATATCTATCTATATATATGGACAAATTCACAGATCCTCCAGCAGCACACCAAAGGCAACCTGAGTGTCACTAAGTGCATCTGAGCAGCAGCACAAACATCCCAGCACACTCAGTGAGCATGCAGCAGTGCCAGAACCCTTCCCAGCCACTCACCAAGGCAGATTTGCCCACACCTCCTGAGCCAAGGACCACTAGCTTGTACTCACGCATGGCGCGGGCTGCTCAGGTACCAGCAACCTGCAAGGCAAGAGGAGAGCAACGTTACCAGAGCACTGCCTGCACACCTTCAGGATGCTGCCTTCTTAAAGGAGCAATGCACTGCTGCTCTGCAGATGTGCTGAGAAGAGGAATCTCTGCAGGAACAGTGAAGACTTCCCTTGTCCACCTGGATGCTCAAGTTTAGATGGCCTCTGACAAAAGCTCTGGCTTGTGCCAAGCAAGCAATAACCATCAAAGCACAGATCCACCCTCCAACACGTCCCAGTGTCCACATGCATCAACCACACGCAATCCCACACTCCCATAGCAAACCTGACAACTCAGTGCTTCCTTTCACTTCGTCACAGAGCATTTTAATTACAGTAAGCTTTGCCCTGAATTCACTGCCTCCTGGGTTTGGGATGCCCAGGCCGGACCTGCTGGCTTTCTGCTGTTGGGAAACACTTTGCATGGAGTCACAAGACCCCTCCCCACTGCACCACCTTCCCTCGGTGTCCTCAATGTTTGACAGCCATGAGCACGAGATAACAAGGCTGGTGAGTTGTGAGCAGGGGCTCAGCCTGCAGGGAAGGATGCAGGACAGCAGTTCTCCCCAGGAAGGTCAGCCCGACCCCACAGCTGCCAAGCGCTCGCTGCTCACCCAGCCAGGGCTGTGCCTTTTTAAGGAAATCTTCCAGCTCCCCAAGCTCGCCGTGCTGCACGAGAAAACCTCTCATTCTCCTCGAGATTCCCTGACAAATAAGGCAAGTGACAAAGCTGGCCATAAACATTTTACGCTCTGTTTACATTTTGAGCCAGGCTGGGCTGTCCCGGTCGGGGCGTTGGGCAAACAATGACCTCAGCTGCCAGTTATCCTCTCTTCCTTCCCAAGTAAGGGTTCAGAAACACGAATGCTATGAGCCCAGGGAAGTTTCATTTCTCAAAGGCACTGCAAACCAACGTTGCCATGGGATTTATGGCTGCACCAGACTGGCTACAAATGAAAAGGAGTTTCTTGGAGTTGGATGCAGAAATGCATCACCCTGCCCAGTACAACACACATCGCCTCGTCCACTACCACCAACAGCTTCCTGCAAAGAACCAGGGTCGTGGCTTCAGCCTTGCTGATGCCTCCCTGCAGCTGGGGGAAACCTTATCCAGGCTGACATGAGCCCGAGCTGCAGCAGAGCAGACACTGCATCCCATCCACACTGAGATTCTCACCCCTCCAGCTGCCCCCAGCCTTACACAGAGAGCTGAGCTTAAGCCAGCAGCAGCACCCAGAGCTTGAAGTTCACCTCAGGGCTATTTTTCTTCACCTCTTGAAACTGTTGTTGCTTAATTGCATAAAAATTGTGAAACGGAGTCAAAGTGAAAGGGGTTTTCCAGAATGGTAGCTTCAAATATCTCAAAATAGTGCAAGCAATGTCTGTGCACTGAGTACACTGACAACATTTTTGGATAAGATCCTGGCAGCTCTAAGCTCTTCTGCTGAAAACTTCCCGGAGAAGTAACATTCACTTCCTTTTATTTCTAAAACCGTGGGTTTGTTAAGAAGGAGAGGGGAATTCCAATCAGCAACGCTTTTCCTCTTGATAATCCTTGGAAATTCCACGGGGGTGACTATTTTATAATAAACCATCAATGCAAGCCATTGATCTGTGCATCTCTCAAGGCTCCACGGGATGCTCCACCCAAGAAAGCCCTGAAAGTAAATCACGCTACGGGTTAAATATAGCTGTGAACTCTTTCACTTCTTATTTATAGTAAAAATACTTGTGGGAAAGTTCCAGCCAGCAGTAGTACAAGACTGACTTCTCATTTCTTCTCTGCAGCATTTGCTGATATTTTTTTTTTCAAGTGCAACAGGAAACCAAGATCCTGAACCGCATAAGCCTTGTTACTGTAGATCCCACATGCTCTAATTATCTCGCAGCTCTTTCACAAGTTTGTTAATGTTACCTGTTCATACAGCACAGATGGAGCGCTCCAAAAATCACCACGTCCCATCCTAACCAACTTTTTCTTTGGCAAACTGCACGTGCCCACCTCCACACAGGGGACACGTGGCATTCACTGCCCCCCAGAGCACCGTGCAGTGCAGGAACGTGCTCTGAAGCAGCAGCTGCATTGCAAAGCAGCATGAAATGATGGGCGTTCAGTGCTTCTTTCGATGCAAGAGAAGACTGTGATCAGAACGAAGCGTAAAAGTTTCCTGTTCCAAGCAACCCTCACGTGGTGCTCGCCACGAGAACTGCTACCCACATGCAAATGTAACCGTCTGCACATCACACGAAGGCTGTTCACCAGCTCTTGAGTGCCATGTATCTGCAGCTGGTTGGATGCTTTGAGCAGCACTGAGGTGATACCATCGCAGGAGAACCGTTAGGGCCGCGCGGTCGGTTCTGCCTCTTTCACAACCAGAAGAAAGAAACCAGACTGCCTCCACAGGTTCACGCTTTGTACAACGGGAGGTGACATCAGGAAGGAGCACAAAACTTCAGAGCTGTTTTCCCCCGCTGCAGAAGCAAGGCTCAGGCAGCTTTTAACTTAACCAGTTGTCAAATTAAATAATAAGAACTCATACCTTGGCATAAAAGATCTCTCATCAGTGTTAACAGCACTATTGAAGGGTTTCCCAGGCTCCTTAAGAGGGCGCTGAAAGAAAAATAAACAAAAATCAATTCTTCAGAATATACTTTTCAGCCAGTAATGTTTGTAAGCACAAAATCCACTCTTCAGAGTGTGGAAATGCTGGGCACGGAGGTGGTGAGGCTCCAGTGCTGCATGGCACAGGAAGCCAAGCAAGTGCTTTTGTAAGATGCTTTTGCAGCAGCTCTGCACCAACGCTGCAGAGCCACCTTGAAGCCCCAGAAATCAAAACGCTGCAGAAACAGGTAAGGGAAATGTTGAGATTTCTGCTAAATATCCTTCCAAATGCAATAGGAAGTGAGCCTACAGCAAAGGGATTCTTGCTGACAGCATTTGTACAGATCCAACTTGAACACACCTGAGAACAGGGAATTCCAGTGCTCAGCTGTAGAACCAAGGGCAGGTGACAACTCAGGCATGCAGACTGCATTTGTGCTGCAGTGCACAGCCCCATGTGCACAACAACAACAACACAGAGACGAGAGAGAAGGAGCAGAGAAGCTCAGCACTCCTACCCTCACCACCAGCTCCCAGCTTGGTTTGCACCCACAGACACCAACATTTGCCATCTGCAATGCCACTGCCAGCACCCTGCCCCACACGACAGCCATGCATGGGGTTATTTTTACCCTGGCAGCTCAGCACTGAATCACGGCTACTATAAACAAACCTGTTTAATTTTGAGCTTCTAAGTGCTCCTCGTGCCAGCTTTTTCAATTACTACAAACTAGGCCATGAAAAGCTCGTTGTTTTTTGTGGGTTTTTTATTTTTAATGTCTACTGGAGATTGCTCAATACTCCACCAAAACTCCTTCTTTACTCATAGCTACATTTGCAAAACAAACTCTAACCCATCACAGCAAGGACCAGACCCAGGGCAAAGCCAGCTTGAGGGGCAGGACATGATATGCAGCTTCACTCCCAACAGGGCTCTGCTGCACACCACGAGAAATTAAATTACTCGATGAAAACGAAAGGACTTTAAGTACTTCCTCAATATTAATCAGAGCTGTCAACAATTAAGTCCTCATGACATGTCGGCCAGGTGAAAGCAATGGGAAGAGGGATGGTGGGTGGCGAGCAGAGGGTGCTTGCCTAAAAAAATCACCTAATTAATTAGCAAATGGTTCTCTCAAAAAGAAGTGAGCTCAACACCAGCCTGGACTTGAAGGCGTTACCACCAGCAGCTCTGCTCACCTCCCTGCCCCGGGTGCAGAGCAGCTCCTCCAGCAGTGCTGAGGCTGTCAGCATCAGGAAAGCAGGGGAAGGCAGTGCTGGCAGCAGGCAGGCTCCACAAGACTTCCACCTGCAGGGCAGCAAACTTCCGTCCATGCCATCTTCAGGGTATGACTTTGCTCTATTGCTCATTATCAGTGCAGGATCCAACACTGTGCTGAACGTATCTGACAGACTGATGTTACACAGCCCAGGTAACATCATTACAGGTGGGTATTTCAGATGGTAAGAACCTGACTCCCTTCTTCATGAATTTAACAGGAAGAACATTTGCACTTCCACCTTGACTGCCTTCAGCATCAAACCAGCAGTGTGAGCAGCACACAGCCAGCTGCACCATGGTAGTTTCCTCAGCAGCTTTTATCCTCCTAAATGTACCACGGGCTGAGACTGAGATTATTTCTGTTAAAAACAAGCGACTTGTTTCCATTCCAGGCAGGAACTTGCCAAATTAACCTCTCTGTGCTTTGCTAGTGTTGCTGGCAGAGCACAGGGCACGGTCAGCACAACATGGAGGTCCACACACATCCAGGGACCAAAACCAGCCACCAAAATGACACGTGGATCTGTGCAACAACAGCTGGGAACTGAGCCAGTCCTGCGCTGAAAAGCAGTTCAGTGAAGCACCAAGGAGCAGAGAGCAAAGAAACGTTTCAACATCCTGCTATTTCTGAAAGGGAACTTCCATCAAGAATTCACAACCTCACAGCAGCTCCCTGAAGGCACACCATGAGAGCACATCACCATTCAGCAATTTAAGGCTGAGCAGACACACCTGGGCTTTGGAGAATGAGGCAAAAGAAAGGCAACAGCCCACAACCATGGGCAGGAGGAGCAAAGCTACCGGCGAACCAAGCAGCCTTTGAAGAAAGCACAAGAAAATCCCGCTGTCCAGAGAGCTCCTGGCAGCGCGCAGCTGGGGATGGAGGAGCGCCCTCCCTGCCTTGCACACTCTTAAAAACCAAAGTCCTCAGCGTGTGCTGCTCCTGAGCCACATCGCTGCACAACATCACCGAGTTGGAGCCGGCGCTGCCAAAGCTGGGGCTGAGTCAGCTCCTCCAGCAGCACAACCCCCGGGCTGCAGCGTGAGAAAGCCCTTCTGTGCACAAACACCTCGAGATGGAGCTTCCTCGAACCGTACCCCTTCCTGCAGCCGGCTTCGTGCTGAACTCACACTTTGAAATATCACAGTGTTTACTCCCATGGCAGCGACTGCCCGCTTACTCACTCTGAATTGCTTTGCCATTGAAGCGCTCTGTGCGGCCAAGGCTTGCCGTACTCAGGCGGCCAATTTGTTTTTTGTCCTGTTGGTCTGCGTGTGCACAAAGTTGCTGGGGATGATGCCAAGCAGAAAAAGGGCATGGAAGGGAAGGCAGCAGTGCAGCTCGGAGGCCGACACACTGCTACTGCTCCAGAAGGAAAATTAGGAGGATGTTTTTCACCCAGAGGGTGATGAGGCACTGGAACAGGTTGCCCAAGGAGGCTGTGGATGCCCCATCCCTGCAGGCATTCGAGGCCAGGCTGGATGTGGCTCTGGGCAGCCTGGGCTGCTGGTTGGTGACCTGCACACAACATGGGGTTGGAACTGGATAAGCTGTGGCCCTTTGCAACCCAGGTCATTCTATGATTCTATGAAAAAATCTGTTGATTTGCCTCTTCCCCACCAGTAAAACACATCGACACGAAAGGGCACCGCATACAGAATCAGCTCACAGGACGTCCATCCGCTGTCCCCTGCATCCACCACTCCCTTTGTGAATTTCTTTTCTTCCATTTTCTCCAGCAGAAAAAAAAAAATCACACACAAAAAAAAAACAACCAACGCTCTGACCTTTTTAACACCGATTAAATTCCAGCCCGAAGCTGGGAGGCTCCATCGTTGCAAAACTCCAACCATACTCTGCTCAGGAAGAATAATTTGTTGTGCTGATAGTAGCCTGGCAACGTCCTTAACCGTGTTCTTCCTGGTTTATGCAATTAGAGTAACTAAGAGCCACGAGGTAGGCTGACTGTCACTGCCACTTTAGCCTCTGTTTTAAGGAATTATTTCCTCTGAGCAGCGACGTTGGACAGAGAGAGGAAAACCACTGCCTTCTTCCTGTCCAAAATGCAGCAGTGTGCAGGAGGGGTATTGCAGCCATGGCTTTGGTGGTGCCCACCGAGCACACGGCCAATTAGTGCTGCACTGTTTGGCAGCTGATGGCCCACACCAGCAGCCCGGTAATGAGCGCCCAATTGGTGTTAATGTGTTTTATCAGCACCATGCAGGAGAGCACCTCTTGAAATGTTTCATGGCAAATTTCCTGGCTCAGTGGAAACGCAGAGAGCAGCGTTGGATGGACTGAATTAACTTGAATACAGAAAAAGGTGCCATTATTTTATTTTTTTTTGTAATAAAGTGAGGCTATCCAATACAGCACTGAATCCTTCAGTGTTTGCTCGGTCCTGTAATGCTGCATCCTGGAGCCTGGGGGGGCAGAACAGGGAGAAATTCTCTTCTGTGGCAAAGCTTTTAAGAGAAGGAAGACGCAGAATGCTGTCAGCAGCTCAGTGCTGGCACCTGAAGGCATCAGGGCCCGGAGCTGAGAGCTGCACAGCACTGCTCGTGGTGTTAAATCCTCCCGAGTCTGCAAGGCTTGAAAGGGCAAAACAACTGCAGCAGTTCCTCCCGGAATTTCCTGCATGGAAAATAAGAGTGACACTCCTCCCTAAAGGAGATTGCTCTGCTGGGCTAAAGCACTTCTGTATGAGCAGCTTCAGTGCGTATGGGTAAAGCTTGACGGCAACCAAAACAGATTATTGTACAATAAAATGAAAACCAACAGTCCGGGCAGTTGGACTCCTGCCCAAAAAGCAGGGATGCTGTTCTCTGGGTTTGAGTGGTGGAGAGGAGCTGTGCTGCAGTGCTGGGCAGCAGCAGGAGGGCCTTGGGCAGCTCCTCCCCCTGCCCCACTGGCACTCCTCTGTGCAATGATAAGACATAAAGCAATAGGAAAAAATTATCTCCTACGTTAATGCGTAAATTTATGAAGCATTATGGAGACAGTCAGTTCCATTCCGTGATCCAGACCTTAGAACGTCTCGCACTTCATTTGAGTATTAATTGCCATTATCTGTGATTTCTGTACTTTCCATTTTGCTCAGGACACCTTCTCAGCAAAGCTGACCCCCACATGCAGCTTCTTTCCTGAGAAACTCATGCAAAAATCAACCATTACAAAAGCAGGGATGCTGCTGATTTCAAAAGCTACGCAGCAATGCTTGTTGGGCTTTTTAAGCCTTTTCCCTGAACAGATGCAGTTTGTACGAATTCAGCATGAAAACAACAGTAAAAAAAATAAAGTTTCAGCCTGCCTGTTCTGCAGACCGGGTTTTGCTGAGCTGCAGTGCATGGTCCCCAGCACTGCACTGCGTTGCACTGTGTGCTCCACTGCCTGCAGGGCGCTGAGATTGCAGAATAAAGGACAAAGCACTGAGGAAAGGACCCCAGGGCATTCAAACAGCTGTTTGATCATTGTAAAGGAGATGCCTGAGAAAGCTGTGTTCTGATCTGTGCACCTTCTAGTGATCGATCTGCCCATGAACACATTCATCAACAGATCCAAAGCCAGAAAGTCGCACTGATTACAGTATTATTATAAGTAATCGGATGAGTTAAAAGCCCTAAATACATAAATATTTCATGAGAGAGGCAGCTGGGAACAGCTTCACTCTCTAACTTTAATCTTAATGTTCTTTTCATCTACAATTAGTGTTACAAACCAAAGCCAGCATCTGGCCACGTTTGTTTCCTCTTTACCTGTTTTTATCCCATAAACCCTTTTGGATCTCTGCTCTTCAGCCCAGTGCCAGCATGGGAAGGGTGTGCTGGAATGGGACAGCTTGCATAAAACAGCTGCACCAGAAATAACCTTACCCAGTGAACTATGATTTACTCCAAGCTATCATGCAGTAGGGTGGCACATAAAAAGGTATTATCCTGCATGTCAGCTGTCTGTAATGAAAGTTTTTCACTTCCCAGCAGCCCCTCCCTACAACTTAATGTTTATTTGCATTGGAGGAAAGGATATGACATGAAAAGCAACATAAAAGGCAGTGCAACCAATACATCCAGCCTGACTGCTCTTCCCACATGCCTGGCATGTTGCAGGTTAAGGGTCTATTTCCAATGGAAGCATTGGGGTGATGCCCAGTTCCATACTGCTCAGCCCTGGGATTGAAGCCATGGGTGCTGTGAGCACGGCATGCACACCTCCTGGGGCAGACTGCACTGCTAACCCAAGTGTGTTCCCAGCATTAAAACACTCCCAAAGACAACTCTGCATCTGAGAAAATATCCGGACGTTCCAGAGAGCTCCGAATCTCCTTCAGCCACAACACGGCTGCAGACACACTCAGACATCCCATTTCAGCACCCAGGTGGACTTAAACCCTTTCCATCTTATCAATACTGAAAATAAATAACAGCCTGCAGTGACTCAGAGCACCTGCCCAGCACACAGCCGCTGCCTGGTGCCCGTATTTTCAGCTAAACAAAAGGAAAGGGGTGAGGAAGGCCAAGCCCCACCAGCAGCCCCATCCTCAGCATGCCCAGCATCGTCACCAACCCCGCACAGGATCCGACCTCCCCCCACACAAAGGGCTTTGCTCAGCAGAGGCAAACGAACAGCACTTCCGAAAGACACTGAGCTCTGCTTCGCTCGGCGTTTCTCAATCCAAACAGCTCCGCTCGCACTCTCGGCCAGGCTCAGGTGAGGCCACCCCAGCTGCGAGGCAGCGCCTGTTCAGGTACAGCCGGTATTTCCCAACGCCCAGGACCTGCTGGGCCACCTGCAGCAGAGCAGAGATCAAAACACCGTCTGCACGTGGCTGCGCTCCCATCCACACACATCTCATAGGATCATAGAACGACCTGGGTTGAAAAGCACCTCAATGCTCATCCCAGTTTCAACCCCCTGCTATGTGCAGGTCGCCAACCAGCAGGCCAGGCTGCCCAGAGCCACATCCAGCCTGGCCTTGAACGCCTGCAGGGATGGGGCATCCACAGCCTCCTTGGGAAACTCTCTTGCTGCTCCACACTGAGCAGCAGCACAGTGTCGTGGTGGAGCCCTGTGACTATTGCAGTGCGGGCAGAAATAACACTGATGCTTTCAGTCTCACCTGCAATCAGGTGAGCATCATCAAACACAGAATGCAAATACGAAAGTTCTGAAATCTGCAAGTACTGCTGATCAAAACCAAGGGACATCTCTGGCACCCTGCTTTTCCCCCCTTCCCTCCCCACCAAACCTTTTCATAGCAAATGAGCACGCTGTAAGATTAAGCACCATTTCTGATCAGGAATGCAGCGCTGCCTCCTCCCCGAGCATCGCCCATCTTCCCACAGCTTCCTCCACTGCAGCACCATCACACGGACTACCTGAGCCCACTTCAATTACTGCACTGTTTGCAAGGGGAGATGAGATCTCCCAGCAGTCAGTTTCTGTCCAGTGCAGACCTCCAGAGACAAAGCTGTTCTGCACAGAGCCCAGAGGAGCAGCAGCAGCACCAGCAGATCCAGCACTGCAGCACAGAGCATCGGCAGCACCGCGGTGGGCGGCCACGTGGCCTTTATGAAACATAGCTAAGGCATTCCTTCTACAGCTCTTCATTTAACAGATGGGGACTTACTTTGCCCACTGAAACTTCAGTGAGTGCTGGAGACACGGATGGTACCGGCCAGGCTCCTGGCTGCTCCTTGCTTCCAGTGCTGCTGACAGCTCCATGCCAGAAATTCAAGGATGGGAAAGGAAAGGAGTTAAATCTACAACTTGCTTCAGAGCTCTAACCTTACTGTAAGGCTGCAGAAGGTGAAAATATCATTTATTGCTACTTCCAGCTCTAAAGCTTTAAAAACAAGAAATTAAGAAAGAAGTTCAGCATTCTGGGAAGTGTTTTACTCATAAACAATCCCCCTCCTATTGGACTAAGCAATGAAATTTATCATTTGCACACACTGGACTGAAATGAAGCCATCCTTGCAAGTTCCTGCCCATGTTCACAAAGTAAAAGATACTGAACTTGCTGATGTTTGCAACAGGAGCAGCGGGCAGTGTGCCGTACCCCCAGGCCAGAGAGTGACACCAGAGCTCACCTGCTGTATTCCCACTCCAATCTGCACCTCTGCAAAGAGCTCCGTCCTCCTGTAACCTCCCTGCCCTCGTGCTGCCACACACATCCCGAGGAGAAACCTGCTTGAGGGCTTTGCAGGACATTAACCTACAAGCAGAAGGCAATGCAGGAGCACAATACCTGCCCCTGGCTGCCACCACGCTTCAGAACTGCAGCAACAAACCCTGACAGCCACACATCCCAGCACCCAAAGGACACCAGCTTTGCTTTCTGACTTCCCACCATCCTCGCCTGTCTCGGCCATGAGGTGCACAGGACCTCAAGTTTTGCAAAACGTGACACAACTGCATGAGTAAAATCTGAGCCTGGGATATATGAGTGCCCTGCTTTCGTTACAGCCCTGCTAAACAACCCCTCACCTCATAAAGACACAAAACGTTTCCACTAACGAAAGAAAAAGAAAATAACAGTGAGCTGAGCACACAACCGCAGCTGAATCGTTAAATGCTGCTACAGTGCAAACACGGCAGCCTTTAATCTGTGCAAAAGGGGAATCAATAAGTGCTGCAGAGCTCAGCACACAGTGATCCCAGCTGTGCTCTGACCCCACACCCACCAACTTCTCTTCAAAAAAAAAAAAAAGAAGAAAAAAAAACCCCAAACCCAATCAGGGCAGAAATGCAACCCAAACCCAACCTAGTTTTAAACTCAGGCCTCCTTTCAATCAGATCCTACTGAAATGAATGCAGCCACCTGCAGGCAGAGCACGGTGTTAAAGCTCTGCCGGGGCAACTGAGGCAAAACCAGAACTGGAAGGTGGGAAATCTCCATGTTAAGCTCCTGAAAAGTCCCCACGTGCCACCAACACGTTGTGCTCGCAGGCAGCAGCACATCAGTGCAAACACACACTGAGAGCTGTTTATGCTCAATGGTAGGACTCAGAATAAAACTTACACATCAGAGCAGGTCCACACATTGCACTGCTGCCATGCAGTTCAGCTCAGTTTCTCAAAGTGCAGATGGGACAGACGAGAAACGGACCTCAGCTTACGGTTTCAAATATAAACTCTTCTGATACACACCGTAAACACGAGTCTCCAAATAAAAGCATTAGTGTGGCAGGGCATTACGCAGCACAGTTCAGTCCCTGTTTGGCAAAGCTCAAAATCTTCACAAAGCTCCTTATCCTGCAGCCCTCCCAGGGCTCAGCCCGTTCCTGGGGCCGTGGAACACGAGGGCTGATGGGGTGAAAACTCCACACAAGGAACCCGTCGCTGTCAGGGAACGCCAGCCCCATGCCAGCACTGCAACCTCCATAGGAACACAAGGTTGGGCTTTTGGGCATCAAAAGGCCGATAGCGTTTCTTTGGCCAGGAGAATGAATGGATATTTCAATATTCGTGTTTTTAACGTTGATCTTTTCCATAGCAGCAGGACGTGAGCACTGTGGCGTAGGATAGCAGCCATAGCAACGTGGTGTGATGTCAGAGCTCCGTTCGTAGTCCGGACACAGTGGTCCATGTCACGGATATGAGATGTGCTCAGAACCAACCTCACAGTGTCCAGTGCTGACAGCTCCTGGGACTCAGTGCAGTGCGTTCTGCTCCTCCCCATCTCCATCCACACTGATGGCTTAAGTGACCTCAACAGAAAATATTTCCCTGCCTCTGAGGACCCTGCCAGCACAGGGGGGATCCTATAGCACATGGGGGTCAGAAAAAGCACAGCCCAAACCCAACCAGGGCCGCAGCTCGCAGAGAGCAGCGCATCTCCTGGCACAGCTCAGATAACCCAACGCCACCGCTCACGCAAAACTACAGAACCAACAGATCCAAGGGACAATCCGAAAGCGCTTTCAAACGAAACAACCGCTTCAGGAAACGCCGTCAGTGCTGTAAAGCCGAGAGGAGCCCTCCGTGCTCCGGTCGGAACGCGGCCCGGCACAACAGCGGAACGGGCGCGGGGCCGAGGCAGGAATTCCCCCCGGCTGCGGAGCGGGGAGGAAGCGCTGACCGCCGGGCCGCTCCGCCCGGAGCCCCGGGGAGCGCCGCTCCGCCGCCACGCGCACCTGCCCGCAGCGGGCACCGCCAACTCCGCTCGTTCCGTTCCTCCGGTCCGGGGCCGGGACGCTCCGCCGGCGGCCTCAGCCTCCGACCCCGGTACGGCCGCTCGGCCGCCGCGCCGCTCCCAAGATGGATGTCCGGGGCAGGGCCGGCAGCACCGAGCGCAGCGCGGACAGCCGCCCCGCGGGACGAGGGCCGGGCCGCCCCCGGAGCGCCGCCGTGACACCGCCTCGGCCTCGGCCCTCCCCGCGGCCCGGGCCCCCCTCGCTCCGCTTCGTTCCGTCCCAACCCCGGGTCGCGGCCCCACCGCCGTCCCGGTGCAGCGCAACCCCCGCAGTCGCCCCGCCCGACCCCGCGCGCTCCCTTCCCCCGCTCACCCTCCGCTCCGCTCGCGGTTCGGCCGCTGTGCGCGGCGGTGGCGGCGGCAGCTCCGCTCCGCTCCGCCCTCAGCGCCGGCCTCGGCCGGGGAGGGGCCAGAGGGGCGGGCGGGGACGCGAGGGGCGGCACGGCGGAGTTCCGGGCTGCGGGGCGTCCCGGAGCGGCGGCGCGGAGGGTCGATAAGAGCGCGGAGCGTTGCGCTATCGGGGGGCGCAGCGGCAGCGCTGGGTGCGGTGCTGGGGTGGGACGTGAGCGGCACATTGGGGGTGGGAGAGCCGCCGTGGGTGCGTTTTTTTCTGGAAGGCAGCACTTCGTAGCGATGTCGTTGCTTTTTTTTTTTTTATAACAGAACCGTGAGGAATTAAGAAATGTAAGATTGAACTATGCGCGAAACGTAGCTGTAACGTAGGAGGCGGCGAAATGCAGGGAGAGAAAAGCACGCGTAGTACGGAGTGACTTCGGGTTTGTGAGGCAGCGCTGCTCAGGTTGCTCCCTGCCCCAGGTCAGGGGATGCAGCTCTGAGCCCTGCTGGAGCCGTGTGTGTCCCTCAGGGCAGGACAGAGGACCAGGTGGCCTTTGAAGAACCCAAACAATTCTACCATTCTATTCTATAATCCTACGCAGAAAGGATCGCAAAATCTCCAGGCAGTCAGTGGCCCGGAGCTGGACGCAGCTCAAAGTCCCACTCGGATCTGCTCTAATCAAAAGTAAACAGTGCTTCAGCACTGCTCTGTGCACGGAGTAGGAGCAGTGCAATTTTGCTCGCAGGTATTATTGATGGCAGTGGCACTGCTCTGATGTCCCTGTTCTTTATGGCTCAGCTCCTCCTCTGAGCACTGCCGTGCTGGAGGCCAGCAGCTGGGCCACAGTCCTGCACAGGGCCTGCTGTTCAGCTTGTCTAGAAGACAGGCAGAGAAATGGCACAGCAAATGTCCTGCAGGGCGGTGCTCGGAGCTGCGTGGGCACCAGAGCAATGCGTTTCACTCACAGATCTCCTTTAGCACCACTCTGTAAACTTTATCCCCAGTGCCATTCAGTGCTGCTGCCTGAGGAATTTCATTCTATCCTGTACTTGGGCAATTTTATCTGTTTCATAAGTTGTGGGTCATCTGAAGTTGCAAAACAATGGGGGTCTCGGCACACCCAGGGCCTGATTCAGCAGAACAGAGTGCTTGTTTGAGGTCTGTTCTGGGAAAGCCTGATTTTCTTCCAAGTTTTCTGCAGGTTTGGATGGAAGCTGATAATATTTGTTGCTGAGTCAGACTTTGCAATGGGTTGAAATGAAAGTTTGGTTGAATGCAGACCTGGTTATGAGGATTAGAACAGGAGAAGGAAAGAGCGTTCGCAGCTCAGCTGCAGTCAGAAGGAACTCTACATCTCCAGCAGGGTCTGCACCCACCTGCTGCTCCCCACAGCCCCCAGTGCCCTTCGTGGGGCAGAGCGGCTTCACCCCGTGCTGCTGTGCCTTATCTCCTGTGGTGTCAGCAGATCCAAGCTGTCAGTACACTTCATTGCATCTCATGTCTGCACCTACACAGCTCATTTCTCCCTCAGAACATTTCCAGCTCACAACAATTCCTCTTTTTCCATACCTTGCTGCAGTCAGTGGGAAGGCATCCCCCTCCCTGGGCGCCAGCATCCCATAGTGACAGAATCCCCCCCTGCTCTCGATGGTGTCAGTAGAAGGAAAGGTGACAACCAGCACCTGTGGAGGATGCGACCACACGGCTGCTCTGAGCCCATCCAGGCCCATGGAAATGAATCATAATCCCTCAGGATTTTTTTTAATTCCCCCCCCCCCAAAAAAAAAGTAAAATAAAATAAACCTACAATTGTCCAATTGGGTGAATTATCGCAAGTTGAGCTGATGTAAATATCCAACTAATGCCCGTTTGCTGATTTAATGAAATCCAGAAACAATTTGCAATCACGTAATGAGCCTGGATTCCTGGCTGATAGAATCACAGCATTGCCTCATGTATCCCACACAGCTCAGAGGGAGCTGAGCAGGGCTGCAGGATCCTTGCTGCCCGGAGCCCACGTGGGGTAGCAGAGCTCCCCTCGCCTGTTCTCTCCATATCCTGCTTGTTTCCTGGCCATAGGCTCAGTGGCAGCTTTATGCTTCTTCTTAAAGATGAGGTGTTTTCCTCCAGAAAGGCCATTGCTTTGCATTAATAGTAAAGGAAACGCTGAGCGAGAGGGAGCACGGAGCAGCTGTGCCCGCTCACAGCCCAGGCTGAGAAAAAACGTGTTGCATCCCAAAATAAAGAGCACTGTGAGAGGAGCAGCACATCACAGCCACCACCAAACTGGCAGCAAAAAGGGATCCATGACAACATCAGCTGTTGTCACCTCACCAGATTTCTGTACTGACCCAGGGCTGGAAACTGCAGGGCTGGGTGTTCTGTGAGGTTCTGTGCTGGGGCTTTGCCCTTCTGTATGGCAGGTGAGGGTGCTGGGCGTGATGGGACCCTCACACCTCACCTCTGGCAACAGCTGTACCACGGCCAAGGAGCGCAGAGAGTGGCAAACGTCAAAAGTTCATCTGCTGTGTCTGTTGGTGGCAAGCGGCACTCACACCCACGTGTCAGCTGAAGAGCAGCCTAGCTGCATCCTAGAAACATCTGGGGGGGTTTTGGCTTTCAGCACTTTCCTCTGCTCGGCCTTTGGAAGGAAAAGTGTTTGCATAAATAACAGCAGATGCTTTTTAAAATAGCCCATCTCCCATCCAGTGTTTGGTAATAGAGAGGAACAGCAATAAAACAGTTGCAGACGATGCGGGAAGCTCAGCAGATGGGCAGCACGGAGCTGCAGGCAGCCTGTGCTGTGTCAGTGCTCATGGATGGTGCTGCTCTGTGCTGCTGCAAACTGTGGCCGTGTTGCTGGGAAGTGCTGGTGAGGCTGCAGGGCTCTTCTCTGCTCAGCATTAACAGGCACAGCACTCAGCAGTGACCTGAGCAGCACGGCACATGCATTGGGGCTTGTGCACTCAGTGATGCCAGAACACTTGCCAATCCTGTGGGGTAACTGGGGCCAATTCTTGGAGCTCCCATAATATCAGAAAACTTCACCTGCACTGCTAGAGTTACAGAAACCACAGAGATATCAGCCTGTTCCATCAGCTGTCGCCTGTGTTTGTGGTGCGGTGCTGCACACCAGGCGGGCCGGTTCTTGCTGACGGCTGCAGGCAGTGCTGCTTCTGCGGGCGCTGTGGGGTTCAGGCAGGGCTCTGTGCCATGGAAGCAGGGACGTGTCCTGCTGCCACTCCAGCGGGGGTCTCCCAGCACACAATACAGCCCCTGGGACCCAGTCGTACAGAGCAGCATGGGGGCGTTGTCATGCTGGCACTTGCTCACGTCGTGCTGCTCTACCAGGAGGCCTCATCACAAGCAGATGACCTGGCTTGCCTACTGGTTTCTTCCACTGAGGCTTGATTCAGAAAGAGAGTGACTAATATCGCTCCTCTCATTGCTCAGAAATGTCCTCCGTGCAGTTCTTCAGGTGTCACCATGACTGCTCCACGCATGGTGACCTGCACTGTGACCCCGTGTGTCAACGCAGCACCAGCCTCCTGCTGCTGGCACCTGCACAATATCAGTGTTGCAGTGCTGGTGGCAGCAGGAGTTCTGGAGCCCACGGCTTCATGCGGGAACAAGCAGCAGCAGGGCTGTGCGGTGCCAGGGGGGCTGCAGGGATGTTTCCTTGGAGCGTGCACAGGCGAGCAGTGCCAGCAGCGATCTGCGTGGCTCTGCAGCAAGGCAGTGCCACTCCTTGGGTTCACCTCATCCAGATCCCACAGGTGGCAGCTGCTCTGGGATCTCCTCTCTCTGTAAGGGCCTCTCAAGCTCAGCCCTAGTCATAGCAGCCCTGGTCCACAACTTGCATTGAGTGTGAAGGCAGAGAGCAGAGCCGGCAGCTTGAGGGCCAGGATCGAGGCACAGCAGGGAGGGGGAGCTTGAGGTGCTCACTGATGACAGCTGCAGCTGCGCACACTGCGAAGCACCAAATTGGAGTGAACCCTCCATGCCCAGCAGCACAGATGCTGGCTGCAGGGTGCTGCAGATTCAGGCTCCAAGATGCTGCAGGTGCCGGTAGGCGCAGGGTCACCAGCAGCACTGGGAGGCTCCTGCAGCCCCCTGCGCCCACCACTGAGGTGGGCCACGTGTCAGAGAGGCCTCCCTATTCTGAGAACCTATTAAAATCTTTGCCTCGGTTAACGAAGAAGCCTGCACCACTGTGGTTTGCCCTCACATGTGCTGTCTGCACATTTGGTGGCCTCTGGCTGCCCTGGCACAGGATTTCCTCCGCATATGAAACTCGCAGGGGATGAGGACACCAAGCATTGGCTGGGCTGCAGCGAGCACATGGAGCTCTGTGAGCATGGCTTGAGCTCGTTTCCTGCCTACAGAGCGAACAGAGCTGAGCTCAGCACCTCCATCCCACCCACCCCACACCCACAGAGCACAGCAGAAGCAGCGAGGAGCCGAGGGGATGGGAGCACCATGGCTGCATCTCACTGTCCCCCATCTGCTTCAGCACAAAACACAGCGGCTGTGCCATGGGTGCCCGCTGAGAGCATCATCCCAGCACACTGCAGCTCCTTGCCTCACCGAGGTGCTGCACAGCTGCACCAGATGGGCCCTACATCTCGTTCTCCAGTAACAAATGTTCTGCTGTTATCCAGCCAGCAGCATGTTCAGTGCTGCTCAGTTTATATTCCCTTCTGCTGGAGAATGAGTGCATCGCCATTCCTCTGGCGCCAGCCTAATTCGTGGGCAAATCCTGATGTATGGTTATGGGACTCAGATGCTGAGCACTGAGGGCAGTGCTGAAGAATGATGCACCTACAGATCAGGGCTGTAGTGGTGGCAATGGGTGGGAAGGGGACAGCTGAGCTTTCCACTCCATCAAGAGATCCACTTGTGTGTTCCGCTGCAAATAGGCAGTAAAGAAAAATGAAACCCATTTTTTTTTCCTGAGTTCATCACAAAAACAAAGGAGGCCTCGATTCCTGCACGCATCATGGAAAGGGATGGGTCCAAACAGAAGCGAATTAAAAATAACGAGGTGCAAGCAGTGCTTCCTTCCTGCAGGGCACGGCTCCGCCTGCAGCCCTGCAGATGTGCCACAGCGTGGGGCAAACCTTGTCCCATCACAGCATGGGTTCTGAACTCCACCTGTGCAGCACTGCGACTGCAGGACCCAACCCTGCTGTTTGCTGCACCCACGTCAGTCTCAAGTCAATCCCTTTAAGCCATCAGGGCCACTCTGGGCTTACCCAGAAAGAAGTGGCCATGCTATAAATAACACCTTGCTTTGATTAGAGAGCTAAAGGCAGGAAAACAGCACTTAGAAACCATACAGGGGAAATGTAACCTCCCCCCTTAATAACTTACGTAGTCATGCCACTGCTGCACTGACCTGTGAGTGGCACTCAGAGCTGAGTCACGTTTTATAAATAATTTGCACAGAGGCATTCCCCATTGCAGTGCACTCACCTGCACAGAGGGGCACAAACCATGCTGTAAAACAGTGAGGCCCAAACCTGTCAGGTGGGGCCGGAAAGGAGCATGAAATTTGGTCAATCACAGGGAGCTGGAAAAGCAGAGAGCAACTGAACTGCAGCCAGAGTGATGGAGCAAGTGCAGCTGCTCAGAGAGCAATAATAGAGTTTAAAATGATAGCAAATGGCCCTGCCCTGAGCTTCACGTTGGATTGAAGAAACTCTGCCTTCAGTCATTTGTCTGAATTTCAGGATTTCGCTCGGGGAGCAGGAAGGCAGCTTGTACTATTCAACAGTGAGCAATGCCTGTCTGATCCATGCTTACACTGCATTGCTGGAGGACCTCCTGCAGTGTGCCTGCAGCATTGATGTGCACCTTGATAACATCCATGCTCACCCAAGACAGCTACAGATGGAGCTGCAGTCAAAACTAAGAAGCATTCGGGGACTCTGTCTTCAGCACAGTTTGTTACTGAGGTTAGTGATTGGGCTGCACATTGCAGGCAGGGTCAGCTTAGCATTTCCTTCAGGTTTTCCCCTAAGTGAGAAATACTGACAGTATTTGTAACTGCATCTGCCTCCAAGGGCACAGGTGGAACTGCACGCTCCTGGCTGGGATGTTCCAGCTGTGCCCAGGGAGCAAGGTGCCCAGCCCTGCCCAGCTCCCAGAGAGCCCAGGAAAGTCAAATCTCCATCCTCTTCTGAAGGGCAGGGATGCTGAAGCACAGAGCAGTGATGTGATTTGTTCTCAATGCCAGAATCTCATTCTGCTCGTTATTCTCCAGACCACAATCGCTCTCTGTTAAGCCAGATGTGACCCTGCTTCACATTCACATCCTCTCGCTGCTTTGCCTTCCCTTTTTCTAAGGGCAGGGAAACCAGGAGGGACAGCAGCCCTTGGGTTCTCCACATCCCCAGCAGAGGACAGCTGCAAGCAGGGGACACGGGCAAGGCTGTGTCACAGCCATGCTCCCCGTGGCACGCAATCCTGGTTCCAACCACCAGACCCACTGCAGGGCTCCATCTTAATTGGCTCCACGCTTCGAACGGGACATTGGAAAGAGACAAACTGGAGGCAAAACAGAGACAGGAAGAAACAGGGCGGGCAGTTTAACGTGGCATTTAATGAAAAGGGAAAGCAGTCAAGGAGAAGGGAAAGAGAACCATGAGCAGCACAAGGGGCTCAGGGGCACAGCAGGACAGAGCCCAGCCCTGGGTAGTGCTGCTGGCTGCCCTGCAGCATTGCACTGCCCTGCCAGGACAAAGAGGCTGTTGGTATTGTTGTCACATGCTAAGATCATTGTCGTTGGTTGTCTTGTTTTGTTGTTGTTGGTTTTTTTTTTCTGGATGTGATTGTCACTTAGAAATACTTGTTTTTCTGTAAAGTCTCTTCCCTCCTCCACCCCCAATGTGAAAAGCAAATCTGTGCTCAGAGCTGCTGCTGAGATTGCAGTTAGACCATTCCCTTCCTGATCCTTATCTCACCAGGATGTAGGAGGGTCCTCGGGGAATAGCTGGAAGCCTTTCGCCGGAGCCATCCAAGAAACAAGCTCTGACTGCAGCCTTTAAATGGCAAATCCATTCAGTTCTGGGACCGGGCTCCGAGGTGCAGTTTAACCCCATCGCACTGCAACATCCCTGAGCTCTGCTGCACCGGAGCCGTCCCAGCACCCAGCGTGGGCCCTGGGCAATGCTCAGAGCTCTGCAGGCTCCAGCTAAATAGCAGGATCTAAAAATACACGTCTGAATCCTAATCTCAAACAAAGCCTTAGATTGCTGGCTCACAAACCTACTCCAGCTGCTTTCTGTGCAGCAGCAAAGCCAGGGCTGAGTTTCTGCAGGGCTCAGCATGAGCTTATCCTGCATGGGGCTGCAGGGTGGTGGGGGAACAAGAAGGGGATCCTGTATAGCTGACCCCAATGTTTCTTGCACAGAGCTCCTCCTGCTGCCAGTTTCATCAGTGCAGGAAGGCCGCTTCAGACCCCAGCTACTTTTATGAAACACCGTATTTGGCAGCATAGGGGTCTGAACACTCCAACTGCATCAACTAGCAGAAGGATGATGTGCCACAGCAGTACATACACACTGTGTGCCCCCATACAGCCTGGCCCTGGGCAGGAGCACCACTCGTCTCCCTGGCAGGGTGTAGAGCTCAGGGCAGGAAACAGATGCTGCTGCTGCAGGAAGCATCTGGAAATGAATGCACCCTTCACCTTCCCTACAGAAACAGGGATGTGTGGGGGTAGAAGCGGCCAGGTTTGGCCTCAGCTGGGGCAGGTGCAGTTCAGATGGGTTTGACAGCGCTGCCCTTGGCTGCCATTGGGGATGGAAAACCCCAAACGGTGTTATGCAGCACCATCACTGAAAGGTGATGTGCTATGGTGTGCCTTTAGAAAGCACAAAGCCTCGCTCTTTCTCCACAGCATCTGAAAGGAGCCTCCTGTGCAGCATGCCCTGGGTACCCATGTGAGGTGAGGATCATTTCTCACAGCCACGAGGCAGAATGAATGGCTTAAAACAAACCTTTTGCTTCAGTCCCATGCAGCACTGAGTGGTTTTTTGTCTGTTTGCAGCCGACACCAGAGGAGGGTGGCCCCGCTAAGGCCCCGACAGCCTGGGCAACAGGAGACATGAGGAGAAGGTCAGCCACAGAGGTGACGCAGCAGCTCATACGCAACCACCAGGATGTGTTTTTCCCCTGCTCACAGCTGCACAGCACCAGCTGGTTGGAGCAGCAATTCAGTCTGCAAACCCAGCACACGCCACTGCTGGCATTCATCTGCTGTGCCCATGGCTGTCAGCTCCTGTTAGAAAACCAGTCCCAAGCCCATGTGCAGACTGGGACCACTCCAGAGAGGTTCTTCTTTGCATTTTCCCCAGCAGTAATGGCAACAACACACCTTCCATGTGGGGAGCAAGGGCTACTTACACATGTTTCAAGGAAGCCAGCCCATTTCACAGAAGAGAAGTGAAGAAGTCTTCTTTATTTCTGACTCTGCCTCTTGCCAACTTCACTTCCCCGGCTGTGCCAGAGATGGCAGAGATAAGGTTGCTGTGGCTGGAGGCAGTGCTTTCCACATACACAGCCCTGTGCTGCCCGCTGTCTGTTCTGTGTTCCACGACATAACCCTGGCCTTGCTGTCCCTTTTGATTGTACAAGGAGGCCCTTTGGCACCCACCATAAGTCGGCAGGCCAACAACAAGGTTGGGTTGGTGGTCCCATGGGCTTCTACTGGAACTGAGGGCTCCTGCTTGAAAACATCACTCACTATAGTAATGCCACACCGAGGAAGGTCTGGAATGCAGCAAAGCACCCTATAAGCTGCATCATTTCCTAAAGCGACCACAGAGCGATTACCCGCATTGATAGAGGCAGCATTGCACAGCCAGTTCCGAGTACAGGTCTCTCACTTCTAAAATTGCCTTATCTGCTTCCTTCTACTGGTCACATTTGGTTTTGGGTTGCTGGTGAGCAGCCCTAGGAGAGCTTTCCCTTTTTTTTCCTTTTCTTTTTTCCATTTCCAAACACCTTTCTAAAGAACAAGAAAGCTACGGAGTTTCGGAAAGGCTGCGGTGAGCTGCGGTGTCCAAAACAAAGAACGTTTCCTGAACTCTGGGACGGGCAACAGCTGATTTACTGCTGAGCGCTGAGGATGTGAAATTCTGGAGGACATTCACACACCGGGGAAGCAGAGACGGCCCACAGCAGCACCGCGGGTGCCACAGAGACCGCCGGCACCCATGTGCCCACCCGACTGCCCAGCCAGCAGCAGCCCCACCAATGGAACCCTCAATACCAGCCAGGTGATGGGCAGCACGGATGCGATCTACATTGGCACTGAGTGCCTGGTGGCTCTGCTTGCTGCCCTGGGGAACATCCCGGTGGTCTGGGCGGTGAAGCTGAACGCAGCCTTCCACAACACCACCATGTACTTCATTGCCTCCCTGGCGCTGGCTGACATTGCAGTGGGGTTGGTCGTCATCCCGCTGGCCGTGTTGGTCAGTCTGCACGTCAGCATCCCGTTCCATTTCTGCCTCTTCCTCTGCTGCCTCATGGTGGTCTTCACCCAAGCCTCCATCCTTTCCTTGCTGGCCATCGCCATCGACCGCTACCTGCGTGTGAAGCTGCCCATCAGGTGAGCCCATGGTTCAATGGGTTGTTATGCAGATGCCAAATGCACTACAGATTTCTTTGGGTTTCTGAGGGTAATCTTTTAAATACGTTCACTTTTACTGTCGCCTGAAAATTATGAAGATTTATGAAGGCTTTCCTTTTCTAGGTTTGAATGGAAAGACTTACAGAAAGCATAACTGCAGGCATAAAAGAAACATGTTTTTGTGGGGAGAAGACCTGTATGTTGAAAAGTGAAAAAGCACTTTTGCCTTACAAACAGAATGAACCAGCATAAAGATACATAAAGGTGCATGCAAGAAAGCTGAGAAATAGAATAGGATCACTAGCAGTGGAAATACAAGTAGTATCACAGAATGACCTGGGTTGCAAAGGAGCACAGCGCTCATCCAGTTCCAACTCCATGCTGTGTGCAGGTCACCAACCAGCAGCCCAGGCTGCCCAGAGCCACATCCAGCCTGGCCTTGAATGCCTGCAGGGATGGGGCATCCACAGCCTCCTTGGGCAGCCTGTGCCAGTGTGTCAAGGAGCACTGAGGTCTTAATGAAACAAGAAATAAAACAGCAGCCAGCCACAAAGAAGGGAAGTTAAACATAGTTCGTCTTTCATGACTGTTACAGTGAAGAGTTATGGCTCGTAACAAAATAAGGTTTTCCTTCCAAAAAAAAAAGAAAAAAAAGCAAGCTGGTTGGTCATAATAAACCTCGAGTTTTTGAACATGAGTTACTGAAATCATCCATAAGTATTTTAAAACACTTCTGCTCAATGTGGTCTCGGTTTTCTTCTTCAACAGATATAAAATAATGTCTACAGAGAGAAGGATTTGGTGGGCGCTGGGGCTGTGCTGGTCTGTGTCCCTGCTGGTAGGATTAACCCCAATGTTTGGATGGAACAAACGAAGAAGCGCCCGCTATCACACGTGTGAATTTATCTCTGTGATGAGGATGGATTACATGGTGTATTTTTCATTCTTCACGTGGACTCTCATCCCTCTGAGCACCATGTGTGCTCTCTACGTGGCAGTATTTTACATCATCAGGACAAAGCTAAGTCAAGGAGCAACCAATGGGAGGGGGATGGGAGCGTTCTATGGGAAGGAGTTCAGGAAAGCCAAATCTCTGGCACTCGTTCTGTTCCTGTTTGCTGTGTCCTGGTTGCCTCTGTGCATCATGAACTGCGTTTTCTACTTTCACCCTGAATATAAGATTCCTAAGCCTTGGATCTTCTTGGGAATCTTGTTGTCTCATGCCAATTCTGCCATAAACCCCATTGTCTATGCTTGCAAGATAAAGAAGTTCAAAACCACTTACCTTTTAATTTTAAGGACCTACATCCTATGCAGAAAAAAGCCCGAAGCCAGACTCAGCTCTAACAGATTAAACACAGCAGCTGTCATAGACACAGAATGAACGTTGACCCACCAGCACACACCAGACCACTGATAAAATGCTTTCAGGAACTCATGGGAAAAACACGTCCTGTTCATCTGCTGCCTGACACAAGCTGGCGATAAGAGCAAGCTCCTCACACACTGATTCCCATATGACATTAAGCTCCAAAGTTAATTTGCAAACTTTTATATTATTATAACCCAGTAAATCTGGCCTGGTTGTTGCTGTACCAAGCCCAGACCTTCTCAGGTAATCACCTGCCTTTAAGAGCACCTTCTGGTTCATGTTTACTGACTTGAGTGTTGCTTGGCAGACTATGACCCAAAGCACAGTTACCAAGATGGACTTTTTACTTCCAGCTCCAATCCACAGGCAGTAAGAAATAATGCAACAGTTCTTGCTAGTTTCTAGCTTTAACTCAAGCACAACAAGTCTTTTGGTCAGCATTTTGCTTTCTCTTTACTTGCACATAACCACACCTGCACCGACGTTTCGCTCAGCAGCACAAGGGCAGTCACAGCATCACATGAGACCTCCATCTGCAAATGAAAGACTTCACCAGGACCTGTCCCCACCCCCTGGGTCACTACATACATGTCTGTATGTCTGTATCATGTCGTTTCAAAATACAGAAAAGAGCTAAGATTAATTTTGTCCTTTTTTCCCCCCCCCTCCCATAATGATTGTCTGGGTGCACTGAGAAACAGGATAAATGCTTGCGGTGCAGGATGTCCTCACTGCCTCCTCTTACACCCATCATCTCCTGTCCATTTCGACGATCAGATGAAGTCTGGTCAGCTTGTGCTGCAGTCAGTGCTGCCATGCTTCCATTAAAGATAATAAATATTAAGTGGATTTTATGCAAAGTCAATGTGCTGCATGAAATCCCTGCTCTGTTTTAGCAGGTGTCCCTACAGCTCCAAAACTGCAGTAGATGCTATAGCACAGCTTAGTTTCAGGGAGTTAAACTGAACACAGGCAATTAAAGGCAAGTCTCTTTTTTCTCCATCTTTGCACGGTAAAAGTGGTCTAGGAAAAAAAAACAAAGGGAAGTGCATCACTCTGTTCTGTAGCTCAGTAAGCTACATAAACGCAGTGCCTGCTCCTTTAACAAAGATCAGAGATCTTAGTTCAACATCTGATGTAATCCTTGCTGCTGCCCAAACCCACCCCGTTACAGGGTCCCACCCTTCACAAAGCAGCTGGCAAAGGAAGTCACTGCACGAGTGCATCACAGCTTGGCGACGTGACCGCTGTCAGTAGATGGAACCGATTGCTTTCAGCAGGCAAAAACAAACAAACAAACAGAAAGCACAGAACGTTACACCTTAGAATAACGCGGATCAAACTTTGCTCCGGTGTTTCCGGCGGCTGCTCGGTGCTGCCCCGCAGCGGTGCATCATGATGTAATTCAGTGCTTCAATCAAAGCGTTGGGCGCTCTTATCAAAAACGCTGCAGCCAGTGACTGAACAGGGAAATAAGGGCACAGATGTGGACAGGTGCAGAGAAACACTTCTGTTTTTCAGTTCTCCTCAGCAGTTCCAAGCAAAAGCGGAAACCCACACGGAAACTGTGCAACAAGCTGTCACCAGGATTGCTCCAGATGAGGGAAGGTGGTGTAGAAAAGCAATTTGTCCCCAGTGTTGGCGAGAGTTGAAGAGTTGGAGATGCTGTTTTCCCCTCCTAGCTATGAATTCAGCTGATGTTATGTACTGCAGCCTGGATACCTCGCAGAGCACCGCCGTCCTCCGTGCAACAATCCCATGGCATCCAGCATGCACAAGGTGCAGGTGTTCATGTGTCAAATTCCACTGTCACACAGGTGCTGCTTTCGGTTGGGGCTTGATGACCACAGAGGCATAAAAAACCTCATTCTGGGATATGAGAAGTTATAAATATCAGAGAAAGTGCAGATGTAACATCTCAGGACAAATGCCCTGCTTCGATTTTGACCTCAACGCTACGGAAACTGAGCAGCCCCAGGAATTGTGGTTTTGACCTTTACCTGGATGTTTTCAGCAGATTCCTCACGTTGTGCCTTGGAGGGAATTTGTTCTTGTAGGTTTTCTTGGGATCTCTTATACCCTAGAAAGGAGGAGAGCAGAGTGGGATTAGCCAGGTGGCAGCTGTTATCTTTGAAACAAGTTCTTAATCCACACTGCTCTCCCTGATGGTCGTTTAAAGGTAACAGAACAGAACTCCTCCTCTTTGTCAAAACTCACAACAAGGATGTTTTAACTACAGAACTAGGGAGCAATTAGGACCCAGTGGGTTAGCCTGCCCTGCATGCAAGACAATTTATTCCTCCCCTCCTCCTTCACTGCAAGGCACTGAGTTATGCTTTCTTGTCATTTGTACCACAGAAAGAGGAATTGGCTGTGATATTCCACCAGCCAATTGTACAGTTCCCTCTCAGCTGACAGCTGGGCAATCCGACCTGAAATCTGTTGCAATCTTCACTGCAAACCAAGCAATTTGGAAACCCAAGAACCATGCTGCTGGCATTTCCTTGACTGTGCCACTTACTTTTCCTGATGAGGCAGACGACTGCAACCACCAGAAGAGTTGACAGGATGCCAGAGATAAAGGCCAGTGCTAAGTAGAATATGTCAGGGCTGTTGATGCACAGGAAACAGAGTCAGAATCACATTCTTACAGAAATATCAAAGAATGAGTAGCTTTCAAATTCAACCAAGGTTATCAAACATCCTATTGCCAAGCCCCAGGAGATTACAGGATATCTGCAGTAAGAATTACTGAGTACCTTGAGCACAGGCTAGGAAATTCTAAGCCAACTTGTGAAAACATGGGACATTATGGGTAACTTCTTCCCTATAGAAAGGGCTTGTTGTTTCAAGGAACTTGGTGTTCAAAGTTCAGAAATAAAGGTGTAGCATTTACTTGTCAAACAAGGATTCGCCTTCTGAGTCTGGTAAGGCAGCAGTAGAGGTCTGTACAGTGGTATGTACTGTGACAGTGGTGGAAATGGGCACTGGTGCAACTGAAAATAATTAGAAAAAAATAAGAGTTTAAGTGTGTTAATATTTCCAGTACTACAAATAACAAGCAAACCAGCTCCTAGAAGCGTGAACCTATTCAAGAATGACTGCAAGAAATGTTGTAAGTATAACATTTCTGTTCCAGAGGGCTGAAAGTGGAAACACCAGGCAGAAAAACAGCAGTGATCCACACCACCACTGCTCCCCAGCAGCCCTTGGAAGCTGTGCAGTACTTCCCCAAATACATTTATCCACAAAGCTGCCCCCCAACAACCCTTTCTGAGCCAGGAAAGTGGTGATGTAGCCAAGAGCCCTGGATCTGACAGAACTCCTTAAAAAATAATAGCAATAATCAAATGAAATACCTGGTTTTGATTTTGAGGAGGAACCTCCCATTCTCTCCAAACACCAGTGAACAGCAAGAGAACCTAAAGATGAGAGGACAGCTGCATTTACACACACGTACACAACACAAACCCAGCATTCTCATTCACACCTCAGGCTCGATTTCACTTGTGTCAGTGTTTTGGGCTTCTTACACAAACTTGCATGAAACCACAGCAGGAAATCAGGCAATAAACAGAGCACGAGCCTGGCTTCTCAACATCTCACTCCTGCATCCAAGAGCACACACACCCAGTACCCTTGTTAAGCACAGAGTCTCCTCTTGAAATGATGGGCTGTATTTCATATTGGACTAAAAAATATCCCCAGCATCATATAGCTAAAATAGAGTGAACTTCATGAAAGAAGCCTCTGAACTTCTGTATCAGAAGCACAGATAGGAAAAACCTGAAGGGACAATTTTTTCTCAAGTTACACTCACAGGAAGTTCAGAATTAAAACATTATTCTCAAATTCAGGAGGTGCAAGCATGAAGATGGGGAAATACAGTTTTACTGGGCTATTCCCAGCCTGGTCTCTCTCATTATATGGTTTTCAAACTACACACTGCAAACAACATCCAGCTATTGCTCACAACACAAAATAAACTGTTCTCACTGTTACTGTCACCTTTTTCTCCTGCATACCCCAACAGCTCCAAGTTCCCCACGTCAGATCTCAAAGTCCATTGCATTTGCAATAGCAGAAGCAATGTTGAGGTACAGCTTCACCTTACCTCACACCGTGCAACAGCTGCCTGTGGAAAACTCCAGTAGTGTTGGCACTGCTTGCACTGCACTACGTGCTGCCTTTGTGAAAAGAACGTGTCCAGCCTGTGAGAGCACCAGTAAGCTTAAACTCGAATGAGACATCAATGTGGAAGTTGAGTAACTTCACTTCTTTTTTTTTTAAACAGGAAATGATGAGGAACCTTTACTGCCAGGAAATGCCAGGGGGAGAAAAAAAAAAAGTCACCTTTACCTGAAGGTGGGTGACTTCTGCCTTTAGGAGTGCCTCACCTCCATAGAACACCTTTTTCTCTGAGCTGTTGTAGTGAAAAAGGATGTAAAAGTCCACGTACAAAAGGTGCATCAGTCCCTCCAGGGCACACTTATCAATCCTACTGTTCTAATCCATATGCTGGTAAATTCAGCAGAAGCTGAGCTTTATCATCTTCTGATATTTCCTGCCAGTCATATTCTCTTCTCTGCAGAATAAGAAGCTTTTGTAATTATTTATATAAATTATATTATATATATTATTATAATATTATTATAATAATATATTATTATTAAATATATTAAAAATATATTATTATATATATAATATATATATATTATAATATATATATTTATATATAAATATATAAAGCTTTGTTACTTCTTTGTTTGTTTGCCTATGAGCTGAGGACACCAGCTCCAAGCATCTCACTGGGTGAGTGGGAAGACCAGCAGTCATTTTGATTTTAAAACACGTTAACAAAAATAACCATAGGGCATTTGTACAGTTCTGAATTAAAACAAAATTCACCAGTGTGTCAGCACCACAGTGAGAGCCAGCATCTCATCTCCAGAAAGGTTCACAACTGAACCAGGAACCAAACAAAGCTGTGGTTGGAAGTAATGCCCCACTATCATCTACTGCAAACACACACATACAGAAATCACAGCCAAAGACAGCGAATATTTTTGTTGGTTGGTTTTAATGACATTTTACAATCAGAGTTTCCAACAAGTAATGGAACACCTCAGAGGAATCAGGTGCTACGTGGCTACGCCGCCACCTGGGCGCTCTTTGAAAGTGCCTTCAGGTCCAAAATGCACTTTGCAATGCTCTCCTTTTGCTGCAAAAGAAAAACAAAACATTTTCAGTAGAAAGCCTCTATGAAGAGAAGCTAAACAAGCAAAGCACGTACTTAGTGCACTTTTTGTTTTCCCTTTAGACACTCAAAATGAGTTACAGACTGAAAGGTATGACGCTATGTAGCTTATAAGGTGAGATTCATATCCAAGCAGTGATCTGCCATATTTCTAGCTCTGCTTGTACATATTTCATTGTTATCAGGTTCATTCCTTAAAAGAAAGGGCAGCCAGAGTCCATCTGGGGATCTTCAACCATCCTGCTCTTAGAGAGGGATTTTTAGAAGACAGTTCCCTGGTGTGCCCTTACTGCAGGGTTAGCTCTGTGCTGCAAGAGCAAACAAAACCAACGACTTGCTCACTTCACCAGCAGCACAGACACCTTGTATCTACATGTGGGAGAGCTGTTAGCTCCCACACAGCAGCAGAACGCATCACTGCTGTGCCCACAACCCACCCAGATGATCTGGCATTTTTTGACTCAGAAGGACTGGACAGCAAAATGCTTACAGGCTAAAACATAACACAGATGAAAGCCAACAGCAACACCAATACCTGCTGAGGCGTGATGCTCTGAATAACGCTCTTCTCCACCCACTGAACCATGTGATCTTGCTCTTTCTGACGCTTTAAGTTCTGCAGAGCCACCTGATAGTCCAGCCTTTTCTTCACTTCGTTGTATACTGTCAGTAATCTTTCTCGGTAATTGGCTTCCAGCAGCATTGCAATATTATTCTAGACACAAAAATGAAATCAGATTAACGTTTGACGAGACAACAGAGCAGAACACAGCCCCACATAGAGTCAGAACACAGCCCCACATAGAGTCAGAACACAGCCCCACATAGAGTCAGAACACAGCCCCACATAGAGTCAGAACACAGCCCCACATAGAGTCAGAACACAGCCCCACATAGAGGCAGAACACAGCCCCACATAGAGGCAGAACACAGCCCCACATAGAGGCAGAACACAGCCCCACATAGAGGCAGAACACAGCCCCACATAGAGGCAGAACACAGCCCCACATAGAGGCAGAACACAGCCCCACACACAGTCTACAGATCAGGCAGTGGAACTGGCCCCGGCTGCAACAAATGTCTCATCAGTGGTTTGTTACTTGTTAGTAACCTGAGAGGCACCCACAGGATGTGATGCCAACAGCAGTAACAGCGAGCAGCAGAGCTAGAGCTGCATACCCTCTTAGCATCAAAGAGGTAACTGCGGCCTTCAACTCTCCACTGCTCCTTTTTCTCCTCCTCGATGGCAGTTTCCAGTGCTTTAATTGCTTCGTTTTTCACCTCTAAAGCTTTAGCAACTTTCTCCTGAAAGCAGAAACAAAAAACGATTCAGAATTAAAGCAAGCTGCAAAGAAAACAAGAGATCTGCAAACTATTCCTGAAATTCTGCACTACATTTTGAGAAATGCCTACACCAGCTAGATTGCACCAGGTTTGGGACATGACAACAATTACTGCTCACAACCAACTGTACAAAAAAAATCAAAAGCCATAAAACATTTGTTTTGGTGTCAATTGCTTTTCCTTCACTTTTTTTCCTCAAACCCACACAGCAACACCAACCTAAGATCTAAAACATACCTCATATTAGCATTGATACAATAATAGTAGGCTCAGATTCTATTACAGCCCAGGCCTGCTTAAGCAGACCAATTAATTTTTAGCTTTTTTTTGCAAAGTTGGATTAAATATTATTATTTTTACCTCATTAAGTTTGTCAGCAAAAGCTGCTACATCAGCACCGTACTTTTTAACGCAATAAATGATGACTGTCAATATGCAGGCAGCTGCAACTGTCTCGTGGTTAATGACATAGATTTCCTTAGAGAGTAAGTAAAGCAGGAGTCCAGTTCCCAACATGTAAGGCCCTAAAAAAAATAAAATAAATCAGCATTGCTTGCACTGATGTGAAACACCTAAAAGCAAATAGATTAACTCCAGGAAACAGATTAAATCCAGGAAACATACAGAAAGGACACTGAGGTGCTGCAGCAGGACCAAAGAAGGGCAGCAAGGCTGTGAAGGGCTTGGAGAATATGGCCTGTGAAGAGAGACTGAAGGAGCTGGGGCTGTTTGGTCTGGGGAAGAGGAGGCTGAGGGGAGACATTACTGCTCTCTTCCAATACCTGATTGCAGCAGAGCGGGGCTGGTCTCTTCTCACTGGTGACAGGACCAGGGGAAATGGCCTCAAGTTGCACCAGGGGAGGTTTAGGTTGGATATCAGGAAAAGCTTATTTAGAGAAAGGGTTGTTAAGCACTGGAATGGGCTGCACAGGGAGGTGGTGGAGTCACCAGCCCTGGATGTGTTTGAAATCTGGATGCAGTGCTCAGAGATGTGATTTAACTGCTGTTACGGCTGGGTTCATGGTTGGACTCTAAGGTCCTTGAGGACTTTTCCATCCTGAGTGATTCTATGATTCTATGACTCCTTTCTACCATAACCAAAGGCAGAATCAGACAGCTTCAGAACAGCACAGTGGGAAGGACACCACCAGCAGCATCCAGCTCCTGGCTCCACACAGAACTGCCCACATTCAAGCCATATTCACACAGAACTGCCTGCTGCAGGCCTTGACTTGACTATTGTAAAGTTGTTCAAATGCACTTAGCATAAGGAATACCACACAGGCCTCAAAACCACCCTCTCATTATACCTAAAGTGTAAAAATTCTTCCTCTTCTCCTTAAATATCATGTGTTAAACACATACAGGATGCTGACCAATGCTGTGTTTTCCCAAATACTTTACCTTTTTTTATGCTACAAATTACAGACCCATCTAAACAAGCCTAACTAAATGCAAATTAAAAACACATCACAGAATCACAGAATTGCAGGGTCTGGAAGAGGCCTCTAGAGATCATCCAGTCCATCTCCCAGGCAGATGTGAAATCTGTTTCTTGGACAGGGAGGAACACAGCATCTGCATTCAATCAACATGAATAAAATGAAACTGCTCAGTCAGCATTTTTGGCACAACATGTTTTGTGGGAACATTCACTGCAGAGGGAGCAGAATTCCCTTCTGGAATTCCCCTTCCCCCAGGAGGGGCTGCTGCACTACCAGAGCCGAGCATCAGGGGGCCAAAGTCCTCCTATTTCTAAATGAGAAATAAACTACAAATTAGGTGAGGCTTTGCAGAACACTTTTTTGCTCCTTAAATAGGCTCCTATTAAATAGGGACTGATTTTGATGACTGATTCCTTGAAACAAAGTGTTCCCCAAATGCTTGATTCATGGGGAATTTTTTCAGAGAAAAAAGCAATCGAGAACGTTCAATTTCGACTCTTACAAAAGTCCTTCGCTTCTCTGCACATCAAAACGTGAGTCAGGTTAAGAATTCAGGAAAGCAAAAGAAGAGGCCAAAACAAAGTGACATTTTTATCTGAACCCTGTCTGAACCCTCCCTCCAAGACCGATGATTTGCTGCCATCTCAAAACACAAATATTAACCTGTGACCCCGGTTTTAGGATAGAGAAACTGGAAGAACTCCTCAGGGATCAGGCCGTGCCGGACCTCTCCTCCTTTCTCCGGCAGCGGAGGCACAGGAGCCAAGCGGTGCTGAGCGGTGTGAAGCGGCCTCGCGACGTGCAAGACGCTGCAATGAGAAAGCTTCCGTTCAGCTCCACGGCGTGCAGAAAGAACCGCCGAGGGAAACCCGCCTGACAGCGCGGAACTCACCCTGCACAGACGGGAGGCGGGAGGCCCTGGAGGCCCTTCAGCACGGCCGGGGCTGCGGGAGGAGAGGGGCAGAGGGCACGTCAGGACGGAGCTCACACACCCTCCCCTGCCCCCCCAGCTCCCGCCCGCCGTTTCCCCGTACGGAGCCGCGCCCGCTCACCGGCGCGGAGGACCAGACGGGACAGCATGGCGGCACAGCGACCCTTCGTCCCGGTGACCGCCGGCCGCCTCCGCACCACCGAGATGGCGGCTGGGCGGATCTCGCGAGACTCTCGCGAGACTCTCGCGGAGGCCGCTCTCGCGAGAGGAGACGGCGCGCGCGCGGCGCGGGAGCACGTGGGGACGCCGCCGGTCCCGGTCCCGCTGCGCCACCGCCGCCATGGAGGAGCCGCCGCCCGAGCAGCCGCCGCCCCCCGCGACTCCGACTCCCTCAGCAGGTGGGGAGGAGGATGAGGCCGCGGCGGCCGGCGGCCCCGAATGGAACATCCCGCCTAACGCGCCCGCCTGCATGGAGCGGCACCTGGAACGCGCTCATTACCGCGCAGGTTAGCGGCCCGTGGGCACGGGGCGGCGGGGAGCGGGGCGGGAGGGGCGGCGGGGAGCGGCACCGCGGGCGCTGAACGGCTGAACGTCCCGCAGACGGAGCGCTGCTGCTGGGCGCCTCGGGGCTGA